CGTTTGGGCCAGCAGGCAGGCATCTGGCCCCAGGCAGGCTTCCTCGGCTGCTGGTTAGGCGGGCAAGTGGGAGCCAGGTCCCCGGGCTCCTGGTCCCCTCTCTGAGGATCTCTGGGACCCTCAGGCGAATGACTTGATTTCTCTGAGCTTCAGTTTCCCCGTCTGTAAAATGGGGACAGTAAATCTGACCTACCTCACAGGAGGTGTGAGGCTCCCTGCATCGCTTTGCAAAGTGCTCTGAGATCCTGGGGCGAAAGGCGCTCTGGAAAAGCAAAGTGTTGTTACCATACCATTGTCACGCATGAGAACCCGGGCAGGACGGCGTGAGACCTCCCAGTTGCCCTGAGAGACCCCCCCAGCCCACCCTTGGAGGAGACCTCCCGTGGGAGAGGACAGTGAGGGAAGGGATTATTTTTTAAAGAACTATTTTTAGCTGTCCTAACCTGTTGGCCTTTTTTAGACGGTATCTGGACACGGTTCCACTTACCACAGGATATGCAATGCTGTACTATGCATGGATTTACTCCTCTGGCTTGGTGGAAAAACTCAACGGAATGCGTTTTTGAAGTGTGATCTATATGCGTATGTGTGCGGGTGCTGTACGCAGCGCGGGGGCTCCGGGGGAGCGGGCTGCCTTGGGAGCTTGTGCCAGCTCCTGCGGGGTCCCTGCTGTCACAGGGGCTTTGGGGGGTCTGCAGAGGCTGTCCGGGGCGTGTGGGGGAGAAGGCCCTGCCGGAGGCGCGTGCTGCGACAGACACCTATCTGTATAAGCATATATAAATACATGTAGGAGACACCTGCCAATAAACACAGCATGTGTACAACACGCTGTGGGATGACTGACAGCACATTTTTGCACTGTAGACGTTTAGTTAGCTTTGCCTTGAATGAAATAAAGTTTATGTTTACTAGAGAAACTCGCTCCGGTGTGGGTTGCTTTGGGCGTACCCCTCGCTGCGTGCGAGCCCTGCGCCACAGCGGCGAGCGGCAGCATCTCCCTTGCGCGCCGAGCACGGGCTGTCCCCGCCGCTTCCCCGGGCGGGCGACTGCCGCTGCCTCCCGGACACCCCGGGGCGAGGGCTGGGTGCTGCTCCCCAGCGCCCACGGGTGCGCCTTGCCCACTCGAGCCCAGGGGCTGTGGGTGCCTGCAGCCGGGGAGCCAGCCCGGCGTGGGCCACGGGATGGGGCAGGAGACACCTCCATCTGCCAGCTGCCCGGGGCTGTAGTGCCGCCTTCGGAGGGGCAATGTTTGCAGGGTGCTTGGGGGTATTTCCCAGCGCAAAAGGCTCTCCGAGCGCGGCTGCCTGGAAAGCAGGATCCCTCCCTTGCCACGTTGCACAGGAATGGCCCAGCATTCTGCATGGGAATGGCCCTGAGTTCTGCCGGGGCTGCAGCTACGCTAGAAGAAGTTGATTTAAAATAATGCCTGTTTGTTTACAGTAATTTAACCTGACCCCGTTCTGATCAGCTTGTCGGACCGAGGCGCTGAGGTTCGCGCAGCACCTTGTTCCCTGTGCGAGGGAGCAGCTTATTCACAAGAGCCAGCAACTAAACCCTGCGCTGTGCTGGGCAAGCGGCTCCGGCACATAGTGTAGGGTAGTGTGAAAAATACCCCTGCGAGCAAGAGGGACGAAGCCTGCCGATGCTGTGTGAAAAAACAAATACTTTCTTTTAATGGGGATACTCTACAGCACAAACATCATTTCTCTCTGTATAACAGTAGTGAGCAAGCAGCAGCTTTGCCCCGCAGGAGCCTCCCTGCCACAGCAGGGTCGGCACAGGGCAATAAATTAATCTCTCTCCGGAAGGGAGCTCAAGCCGGTCAGATTCCTTCACAGTATCGGTGCCCGTCGCTTTGGGCTGCCCTTTGCCTCCTTGGCTGGCCTCTGGCGTGCTAAATCACAGCCTGCCCAGCGAGGGTCCAGGAGGCACCGCTCACCTTCCGGGGCTTGGGATCCATTTCCCAGCTGCGGCTGGAGCCGAGACAGCCAAGCGCGTGGGGACAGGGAGGGAGGCTTGGGGAGAGGGGAGGCAACCGTCCCGGCAGGTCTCAGAGCTCCGACTGGAAGGAGAGAGAGAGGAAGAGGAGAAATTGCAAGCTTTGGAAGGGCAGCCAGACCCAGGAGGCAAACAGAGTCGCGTCCTTAGGGAGCGGGCTCAGCTCCCGTGCAGAGCCCAGGGGGGCTGGCTGTCGGCAGCCCCATCCCCGCAGCCCCATCCCCGCAGCCCCATCCCAGCAGCCCCAGCCACGCAGCCACGCTGCGCAGCGCCGGGGTGGTTCCCCTCCGGGTGCAGAGCTGCCAAGGGGGGCCTTGACCCTTCCCCACTGCCCCCCAAAACCTGTGTGATCAAGCAGCTGCACGTGTTGCTGCGGCGGCAGCGCGGGCCCGACCCCTCCCGCCG